TTTTTTGTTTTGGTTTTTGCGTTTGTTTACTAAATTATAAATAAATTTTTGCGTTAGCTTTATGAAATTTGATGTTGTTTTTTTTTTTGCTTTTTTTGTTACTTAATTAGAAACTTAAATAGTAGCTAAATAGGATGTTTTGTTTTATAAAAATAATATGTAACTGTATACAAATCTTTGTTCTTTCCATCATTGTTAATCTTACAACCCTTTCTAACATCTGTTTTGTTGACATTTCTGAAAATTATATTTTGACAAGACTGCTTAATATTTAATTTTATATTCATTACATTTTCTATTAATTTGTCTATTTTTTAAATAAAGGTGATTAATTCAGGAAATTCAAGGCGATTAATCAAATCGCCAGATAATAAAGTTAGTTGGTGAGCCAAATTGGAAACTGGAAGATTCTATTCATAAATTTGAGTTTCAAGAAGACAATCATCAGAATGACTTGATAAAGACTTGTCTACAATAGAAGTTCAAATAACAGAGCTTGAAAAAACATCATTAGCAGTTTTCAAGTTTAAATCAGAAAAAAAACTTTTAGAAGCAGAAACATCTTTTGAACAAACTCTCTAGAATTTGTTACAGAAGATATTTGGGTAGAAGTAGGGATAGAATAATTAACAGAAGCTAGAAAATTATCAACATTGTTAAATTATGCAAGATTGACTTTTCATTTCAACTATCTGTATTTCCAACAAAGCTGGAAGCAACCACTTTTAGAGTTATTAGTTACTGGTGACCCAAGATGAAGATTATAAAGCAAAGTTACGATTAACAGACAACTAAAAAGATTGCAAATTATATGAATCGGTAAAACAAGATGAATGAAGAGTATTATAAAAAACTGATGTTTTAGGAAAAAAACTAGACAAATAAGATTTTTTAGAGCACCTAGGAGCAATAAAATACTATATTATTGTATACAAATACTAACTTAGCAATGATTTGTATATAAGGTTTCCATGAGAGGTCAGTACAAAAAGATAATCAGAGACTATGTAAAGTAGAAGACACTGTAAAAATGTTGCCATTTATCATATTTATCTATGAATCTTCTGTCTGTTAAATAGGTAATTTTGAAAGTTTCAAATAGATTTCAATGCCCTAACGCAGTTATTTACTAATCAGTCTGTAAATTAGGCAATAGTTTATAGTAAATAGTCTGTAAATAGGCAATAGTAAACAGATGAATTAATTGGATTCTACGATTCTTTATACATATATGCATGGAGTTTTTATAACATAACTTGAAATTTTGTTCTCGAAGACTAAGTAAATAAGTAAAAACACTTCAGTCTGTAAAATTAACGATTCTAGATAATCCTACAAATGTAAAAAAAATTATGGCATTTAATTTTCTTATAATTTTGTATCCCTATCTAAAATTTCAAGTCAAACATAATAACAGTTGGAAATTATGAAATATATTCAAAGTCAAATTGCCCAATTGGTTTGTGCAACCCTTTTGCAGTAATTTACTGACCGGTCTGTAAATTGTGCAATACTTTCAAAATGATCTATTATTCAGAGTCCATGATTCCTTTATGCATATTTGCATATGGTAACCCTAATTTTTGTTCTTCAATACATAATTAAATAAGTAAAAAAAACTTCAGTCTGTAAAATAAACGATTCCGTGTGATCCCGACAGATTTAATAAAAAATGGATCACTATTTAAAATTTAAAATCAAATGTAGTTATGGTTCAAAGATATTAAATGTATTTAAAGTCAATATGCCCAATTGGTTTGTGCATCCTTTTTTCTGAAATTTACAGACCTGTTGTAACTTATGCAATAATTTCAATGACAGGTCTGTAAATTATGTTTTATTTTGGACTTTCCAATCCAACAGATTTAATAAAAACTGGATCACTATTTAAAATTTCAAGTCAAATGTAATAACGGTTCACAAATATCAAAATATTTAAAATAATATCAAACTATTTAAAGTTGATATGTTCAATTTGTTTGTACAGCCCATTTTCAGCAATTTACTGACCAACCTGTAACTTATGTGACTATTTCACTGGCCGGTCTGTAAATTATGCAATAGTTTTCAAATGATGTATTTTTTGGATTCCATGATTCCTTTAAGCATATTTGCATGGTATAATTATAACTTGATTCCAAATTTTATTCTCCAAAAATAAAAAAAATAATATAAAAATCTTCAGGCTGTAAAATAGATAATTCTGGGCAATTGTGACAGATTTTCTTTAAAAAATTTTGGTCTATTTTCTTATAGTTTGATCACTGTGAAAAATTTAAAGTCAAATATAATCACAATTCAAAATTTATTAAAAAGTCAGTAAGACCCCAAAAATATATAAATTAGTAAAAACTCTCAGTCTGTAAAATAGGTAATTCTGGACAATCCCGACAGATTTTTAAAAAAAAAAATTGGAATTTTTTTTTCTTATAGTTGGTGGGTTACTATGGGAAATTTCAAGTCAAATGTACCAACGGTTCAAAAGTTATTCAAAAATCAGTATGACCCAAAAAATATATAAATTAGTAAAAACCCTCAGTCTGTAAAATAGACGATCCTGGTCATTCCCGACAGATTTAAAAAAAAAAAATTTTATAATTTTATTTTCTTATAGTTGGTGGGTCACTGTTGAAAATTTCAAGTCAAATGTATTAACAGTTCAAAAGTTATTCAAAAGTCAATAATACTCTCATTTTCGGTGCCATAACAAAGCAAATTTTCCATATTTAAGCCCTATACCTTTTGTCAAAAAAACATCAATTTTTCCACTACAAAAAGTTCAATAACTTTTGATCTGCTTAACTTCAAAGACCAATTGACCCCTCATTTTTTAAGTCAAGCCAAGCTCTATACAATGTCATCAATTAAATTTGAATATTTGAACTATAAAAAAATCGTCTGAAATGGCTACATTAGGATTTGTTTAATTCAAGGCTCCAGTAACAGAATTTTGAAAAAACAAACATCATTTGATAACAAAGTGAGGCAAAAAATATAAAGTTTGTTGTATGACTGGAAAAAAGCCTAAAAATCAACAAAAAATCACTTTACAGTGATTTTTTGTTGATCTTTCAGTGTAAGATAGGCACAAAATATTTCTTAAATTAATAAGCACAATATTTTTTTTGGTACAGGAACACATAAAGAAAACATTGTTGAACAAATTAACTGGATTTGACATCAGAATCTATTCGCGCCAATGTTTGGAAATTGCCCTAAATTTTTGCCTTAAATAATTCTTTCAGGAAAGTAAAAATATCGATTTTAAAATTGTTGTACAAGCATTGGTTGCGAACTTTCGCTTAAATTTTTTTCTTATTTTTATTTCTTGGTGTTTTTTGATAACTGTCTTCTTTGATAACTTCCCTTTCTTTTTTTTTTCAACTTTTCTGTTTCTTGTTCTCTAAGCTTTTGATCTTTCAGCACCTGATTTAGGCATATAAAAAATTTTATTTAATATAACAGCTTTCTTTCAAGATTAATGATTGATTAAAAAAAAAAAACGTTGCAATTCAAACTATAAAAAAAATTTTAACTAAAAAAAATTTTAACTAAAAAAAATTTTCTTTATGTTAAAAATTTTTATTTCTCAACAAATATTTATTTACATCAATTATTTTAAATAAGTGATTTATATTTTAAAAAAGAAAAAATTTCTATCTATTTTAAATTATTTTAAATTACTTTAACAATCTTAACAACATTATGAGTAAACAAACCGCAAATGATTTTTAACTTGGTTTCAATAATAAAATCGTTTGCGCATAAATTGCCAAGAAACCGTTATGGAAATACAAACATTGCGTGATGGTCGTAACATACTTTGTTACATCTTAATTCTATCATCTGAAGCTCTTTTTTTTAAAAAAACAAAACAATTATAAAACTTGTATCAGTATCTTTACTTTTACTATATTTTCAGCTTTATAAAGTCTGATACAAAGCCTAGAAAAACTTTTCAACTTTTTTCCGTGACAGTCGTAACGCATAAATTTGATAAATATATTCTTTATTTATACATAGTTGGAGTGCGTTTTTATAAATAATATTCAATATAATGTTTAATATTATCTTTAATTTAAACTTAAAAGTAATAGTTACATTAAAACGCAGCACCGAAACCTTTTTCAACGTTTCACAACAGGACTATATAAGAACGCCAAAAATTGTTTATATAACCTTTACAACGTTAAAACAATGGTATGATAAAATGATTTTTTTTAAACTTTTTTGCTATATATATATATATATATATATATATATATATATATATATATATATATATATATATATATATATATATATATATATATATATATATATATATATATATATATATATATATATATATATATATATATATATATATATATATATATATATATATATATATATATATATATATATATATATATATATATATATATATATATATATATATATATATATATATATATATATATATATATATATATATATGTATGTATATATATATATATATATATATATATATATATATATATATATATATATATATATATATATATATTTATGTATGTATGTATATATATATATATATATACATATATATATATATATATATATTAAAGTATATATATATATATATATATATATATATATACATACAAATATATATATATATATATTTATATATATATATATATATATATATATATATATATATATTTAAGTATATATATATTTTTAGGTCTATAGATATATATATACATATATATATATATATATATATATATATATATATATATATATATGTATATGTATGCATGTATGTATGTACGTACATATGTATGTATGTATGTATGTATGTATGTATGTATGTATGTATGTATGTATGTATGTATGTATGTATGTATGTATGTATGTATGTATGTATGCATGTATGTATGTATGTATGTATGTATGAATGTTTGTATATAAAATGAAAATTAAAAATAAAAAAATTACTTTTAAAAACTAACTTTTCAGATAACAATGCTTTTGACATGAACTGTAAAAGAAAAGTTCCTAAAATCACAAAAAAAATGACAATTATGACTAAGAATAGACAATAAAGAATTCATTTTTGGTAATTTCAGCTTATTAGTAACTAACTGGAGGCTAAGATCCAGCTAAATTTGGCCAATTTATTTCAAACCCTACTCCCACATAAACCATAAATTATTTTTTAGTCGTTTATTTTATAAAAGTAGCACAAACATAAATTATGAGTAAACATGTAGAAATTTAACTATAACTTGATCGTGCCAAAAAATAATTTGATTGTCTACTTTTAAATTTTTTTTTAAGCAAAAAATTTATTTTATCAAACCTCGCCCAGATCCAATTAAGCACAGATTTTTCAATAGCAACTATTAGCCATCCGTAATGGATGTGCAAGTGTTTTGCACAAATACACAGTAAAATTGTATGAATAATATTTTTTAAATGCATATATTTTTAAGCTCTATGATCTACTTGATAAATTGTATTTTAAATTTTATTATAAGTTACTGTTATTTAATAGTATTGCATAAAATTGAATGAAATTTTCTTATATAAAACTGATTAATCTAATTTTTTTGTAAATAGGTTTTGTAATATTTTATATTGTTTATTTTTTAAACAATATCAGTATTAGACAGGAATAGTGTGCAATCGCACCCTGTAACTGACCACGCTTATTTTATTTTTCTTTAGAATTTGACCACAGCAGCTTTAATGTTTTAGCAATTTAAATGCAGTAAAAAAATCGTTACCTTATAAATAAATTTTTATCGTGGATCAATAGTTTTTATTTTTGCAAAGGCTTTAAATAAAATAAAAAAATAATTTTAATGATCGTTTAAAATAAACACATTTTTAAATGTAAATTAAATGTTATACTTAAATATTTTTAGTAGGCATGTATTTTTTATGATAAATTTAAACATTTGAAACTATTTTCCATGTCTTTATAAAAATCGTTTAAAAAAAGATTTTTTCAAGTTACTTTATGTTATGAATAAGAAAGCAAGATGAAGAAAGCGAATTCCAAATTTTTGGAGCACTTAGGAACAGTAAAAGGATGAGACTTTATTAAATGACGAGTAACAAGACAATTTTAGTAGATGGCACAAGAGACGCTCTTTAGAGCAGTTCCTATTATAGTATTGATAGAAAAGAAAAAGAGAAGCAACATTATGACGATGTGATAGTGGTTGGAGGTTGGCTGCAAGAGCAGATTCAACTATGTTTACAATGTGTTTTTGCACCTAAAAGAGAAAGAGCATCATTGGAATATCCACCACAGATATGTCAACAGTATTCCATACAAGGATGTATTTGAGATTTATAGAGATAAAGAATAGAATCCAGAGTAAGAAAGAGATGCAACTTTAGCAGATGCTAATTTTGCAATTAATTTGATATATGTTTTACCAAGAAAGATCGGAGGTAATAGTTAATCCTAGAAGATGAAGGATAGATGACTCACCGAGTGCATTACAGTTCATAAATATAGAAAGATCTAGATTATTCCGATAGCGATTAGCTGACAAAAAAATTTAGAAAAAAAAAGTTTAGCATAGCGCTTCTTTTTTCAGCGCATTTCTGACATATTTAAATCATCAAAACATATAAACAGTCGTGGTCAAATGGTCAACAATAGCATTCGATTGCACGCCATTCCTGTCCAAGCCTGCAGTATCATTAATGGCATGAGTTATAAGGGTTATTATTAATACTGTCATTGATAGCACCAGTATATACAATATTTACATTAAATTCTTTTGTAAAAACAAATTCTTAAATAAATTTTATTTAAAATGTTAGATGTAACAAATCTAAGAGTTGTGAATTTCATAGAAGATTAGATTCTATTAAAAAAATATTTTATAAAATATGAAATTAGATGCTAAAAATTAAAAAAAGAATTTGAAAATAAGATATTAGGGTTTTCAAAAACCCAGAAAATATCTAATCCCTTGATTTCAAAACTAAAGAAAAAATCATAAATTAATTCAGTATGTAGCTGAGAAATAACATATGCATAAAATATTTTATCTTTAGAAAATATGTAGAAAACTCTATACTCCTAAATAATTCATAAAATTATTACAAAAATCTTGATTTTGAAGGACTACTTAAAGGTTTTAATGATTATTACACTAATTTTTGCTTTCACCAAAAATTTCATAAAATTAAACTTTTCACTTAAAATTCTAATTACGTATTTCTAATTTTGCAAATATAGTGAAAAAGTTTGAATTTTAGTTAACTAGACATTTTGTATATATAGTGAAAAAGATTGAAAGTTAACTAAACATTTTTGTTTTTGCCAAAATTTATATAAATAGCTATATTCACGTTAAAAACAAATTACCTATTTGCTCATAATATGAAATGTCTTTGCCATTTTCTGTTAGACAATTGAGTAGAGTTACTCTAAAGATAAAAAAAATTTTAACACAGTTAAAACTTTTTAACATGTTAAATGTATAACATGTTAAATGTCTCTCTTACTATTATTTTTTATCAAACAAATATAAACTAAACAGAAACTACATCACAGTGAAAATGGTGCAATTAAAAAAATATAAAAGAAACTCATTAATAAATAAAATTAATAAAGGGTAGGATTTCCTTTGGTTTTATTAATTACTAATTCTAATTCTAGTCTATTAGGAATTAATTCCACTAATTTGTTTGCATATTCAGGAGTTATTTTATTTTATTTTGTTTTAAATCAATTTCATTGTTTATGGTATGTTTACAAATTTCTTATGTTATAAATTTTCAATAATATCAGGAGACTATGGAGGAGTTTTCAATTTTAAAGACAATTGTGCAATAACCTCGCACTATGTGTGATTTATGTTTGGGATCGTTGTCCTGGTAAAACACAAAATTATAATTTATGTCCAATTTTTCGACACTGGTTGTTAAGTTTTCTTTTATAATGTACATTATTTTGTCCATATTGCCCTCAATAAAATGGAAATTGCCAACCCCATTAGCTATGCAACAACCCCAAACCATTACATGACTAGGGGTGTACTGGATCGGAAATTTTGTATTCCAGCCAGAACCGGATTTGCCAGAATTGTTAAGAAAATTCTTGATGGAACAAAAATTATACTTAGGGATTGTCCATAAGGTACATACGCTTGGGAAGAGGGGGTCTTCAAATGATTTATATGACATGGGGGGGGGGGGGGCTGGAACAATTATAAAAGTATGGAAACACTAAAATGAAAAAAAATATCATAAAATGTTAGGTAGATTAAAAGAATAAGTACTTTTAGGGAGGTGAGGCATACTCAAAAAAGCGTATAGCAAAATGCAGTAAGGGAGGGGGGAGAGGGAAAGGGTCAAAATAAAAAGCATATGTATTTTATGGACAACCCCTTATGTAACTTTTTACCTTTAAGACTGAAAGCGAAAACATACACCTTAGCATAGTGGCTACATGATATATATTTGTAATCTATAATATATATATATATATATATATATATATATATATATATTTTTTCTTTTTTCTATATGAGACATCTTATATTTTTTAATTTTTTAAAATTTAAGTAACATTTAAAATGAGACTATACTATTCACAGAGACATGTAACTTTTTTTTTGAAAAAAGAGCTAGTATGTTGCCCAAAACTGGGTGACAACTCTTTTTGCACCAAAATATTTATAAACTTCTAAAAATTGTTACATAATTACTGCAAATAAAATTACATATAGTTTGCTAAGAATTTTGTATTTTTTACCTAGACTTACCTAGCTACCTACCTAATATAGCTCTTCATCGTCATGTAGGATAATGATTTTTTGATTTAATTTACACAGTCTGTGTCACATGTCTTATAAAATAAAGGTGAAAATAAATTACCGCATTCCTGCCTAAAAAATTTTAATTCTTGCCGGAACCAGAATGACCTAAAATTCACAAATTCCGGCCAGAACGGTATTCCGATACATCCCTATACATGACCAGCACCATGTTTTAGGGTTATTCTTAAATATTGAGGTTTCGCTCTTTGCCATACATTTACTAGACCATCTGAACCAAAGATGTTAATTTTACTTTCATCAGTGAATAAAAGATTCTTCCAGAAGTTGAAACCTATGTTTTTGTAATCATTGGCAAACTTGAATTGATTTTTTTTATTTTGCTTGCTTGAGAATGGTTTCCTCCTAGCCATTCTACCATGTAAGTCGTTTTTTATTAAAACTCTACAAATTGTTTCTAGATTCACATTTTTTCCAAATTTTTTTTTTACCTCAATGGCAAGCTTTGGTGCACTTAAATGTGGATTATCTCGTGAAGTTTAGACAATTCAACGTTCTTCTTCTTTTATTGTAAAACTTCTTTTGGGACTTATTTTCACTTTATTTTTTTTTCTATTTTCATTTTGATAAGGTTCTATAATATGCTGCACTGTAGACTTTTTTTTTTTTTTTATTATCAATTTTTGTAATTTCTCGTTGACCTTTTTTTATTTTGGAAATGAAATAGGATTAATTGTTTCTTTAAGAGTTGTGTGTCTCCCCATTTTAATTTTTGTATTTTAAAGCACAACAAATTAATTAATAAACAGATTAATAATTAACAATATTAATAATACTTTGACAGATATATACTAAAACAAAAGAATGTAATTACGTCATACTAAAACAAAAGAATGTATTTACGGTTAGTTACTTCCAATTTTTGAGAGATATGGCAATAAATATAGTTGCATCATTTTCACTGTGACATGTTTTTTACGATAAACAATGTTTTATATTAGTGTCCAGAATCTAATTTAAATCAACATAAAAACAAATGTCTAATATAATGATTATGCCACAATGTATACTTTACATAGAATTTTTAGATATGGCAACAGTATTCCATACAAGGCAGGGTTTGAGATTTATAGAGATAGAGAATAGAATCCAGGGTAAGAAAGTGTCGAGCTCGATAAAGAGATGCAACTTTAGCAGATGCTAATTTTGCAACGGATTTGATATAAGGTTTCCAAGAAAGATCAGAAGTAAGAGTTAATCCTAGAAGATGAAAGGTAGATGACTCATTGAGTACCTTTATTCCAAAAAATCACTATCAAAATTTAATGCATAATCACATGGCGGTAACGCTAGTGCTTACTCTAAAAATGAAAAAAATTGAACACATATTTTGAGTTGTTCAAAGTACAGTGCTATAGCTACTTAAAAACACATTTTTAATTCGATCTTCTATATTTAATGGTGGTACATATAATGGTAAACACATTTTTGATTCGATCTTCTATAAATAATGGTGGCAAATAACAAATAGTCACGTAAAATTTTATGCAAACAAGTTTTTTTATGTGTTTTTTAATTCACACATAATATATTCTTCGAAAAACTTAAAAAAATTCTCTGTATTCAATTCTACATAGAATACTCTGAAGCTAAAAAAGCGTCTACATTTCATGTTTTTAGAAAAAACATTCAAATCCAAAAGTTTAAAAGTTTTTTAACTTTAAAGCATGTAAGCTTTAAAAAAAAAAAAAAAAACAGAAAATGTGTTTCCTGAAGAAGCAGAAAATAGCATCGTTTCCTGAAGAACCAGAAAATTGCTTTTAATGATAACATTTTAAAACAAAAAATATTGCAATTTGTAATTTTGAAAATTTTTTACTGACTTTTTAAAATTTTTTCTTAAATTCAACTCTCTATTCATACTGATTGAGTTAAATTTTTTTTTTTTTAAAGTTTATACATATTGATTGAGTTAAATTTTTATTAAAGTTTATACATACTGACTGAGTTAAATATTTTTTAGAAAGTTTATACATACTGATTAAGTTAAATTTTTTTTAGAACATTTATACATACTAATTGAGTAAAATATTTTTTAGAATGTTTAAACATACTGATTCAGTAAAATATTTTTTAGAAAGTTTATATATACTGAATGAGTTTAATTTTTTTAAGAAAGTTTATACATACTGATTGAGTTTAATTTTTTATGTCAATAAACAAATAATGGACATATTTGAAGAAATAAACAATGATAAAATTATACAGAAAATGCTCATATTTTCTCTTTTGTAAGAAAACCTTTACTTTAAATTTTCATTTTTTGAAGCCACTTCTCTTTTTCTCCTAGTTAAGGCAGCTTTTTCAGTAAGAATCATGTCACATTTATCACAGCTTTCACTCATTTCCTTCCTTCTTTTTTTAGTATTTACAGCTGTTAAGGTGTCTTAAAAAGGTGCTGGCGACAACAATTTTAAAATAACAGATCAAAGATTAGATAAAGATAAACACAAATATGCTAATGAATAATCATTGTTATAACATTAATATGGTCTAATTAACTTCATTAAATTAGTTACTTACAACTTTACTATAACTTTTTAAATAAATGCAAAAGAATAGGGAAAATAAAGAATAGAGAAAGAACACTGACAACTTTTAGATTAGTCCTGCAAATGTTTGAATGTATATGTCATGTACAAATGTAGAAGAGTTTCAATAATGCATAACATAGGTCAGAAAAAAAAACTGTTTGGATTAGCTGATTTGGATTATTTTGGGTTATGTCTTAATTTTTAATTAAAACAATAGTTTAAAAATATATATTATATGATACCTTTTTTATTTCATAAAAAATTTCCAAAATTAATATTGTAAAATTTTAAAACATATTCTTTTACTGTTTAATTTTTAGATGTAAACAGTGAATCATCAACTGTCATAAGAAAGATCTAGACAATAAAGATTTTGTATTTTTAAATTTTTATTTGTACAATCATTTTGAAGACACAATGTGCTATCCTACAAATAATATGTAAAATTAAAATCTAAACAAAAAACTCCAAAAAACTGTTGATAATCTAAAAACACATATTTTAAAAGGAAATACTCCAGAAAATACTTATTACCTGTACAAGTTTTTTAATAGGTAATATACTCCTTTTTTTTTTTTTTTTTTTGAAAAAATAACTCCACATTTAACAAAAAAGATGAAAAATAAAATAAACTCACACCATAGGGGCTAACAAATGAGAGTGATCTAAAATCAAGTAAAAAGCTATTTTCTGACGGTTTTCAGTTTGTTTGTAGTTCTTGTTTCAATCAAGACTGCAAAATTACTGTTTTTATTTACTAAGTTGTTGTCCATCAAAAATCATAAAAATCTACTGTAAGCTCCAAATACTCAAATTTTGTCAGTTTTAACAATTTTAGTCAACATTGAACAAAGTTATTTAATGCAGAACAAAGTTATTTAATACAGAAAAAGTTATTTAATACAAAACAAACTTATTATTAGGGGATAAAAAATTACCTAGAGCATAAATCTTCGTTAACATCATGATTCTCAATTAAACGAAAAAACTGAACACGAAGTAAGCCAAGATTTTTATACTTAAACAAAATTTAATAAAATTATATGCATTCAAATTATATTATATATATATATATATATATATATATATATATATATATATATATACATATACATATACATATACATATACTTATACATATACATATACATATATATATATATATATATATATATATATATATATATATATATATATAAATTTATATATATATAAATTTATATATATATAAATTTATATATATATATAAATTTATATATATATATATAAATTTATATATATATGATGTTGTTTATATATATATATGATGATTGTACCAAGTTATGATACAAAGTCTCTTGTTCGTTTGAGAGTGATCAATATTAAGTAAATTGTTTACTAAGTAGATCAGTATTATTATATAAAGAGTTTGATTATTTGAAAAAATACAACTTTGTGATGGAATTTAAAGTTTCATGCCCTTTGGCAATCATCAGCCATATTTTATTCTTTAAACTAAGAAAAAACCGTTAAAAAATACAAAATACAGAAATTAACAGAAAAAACCATAACAAAGCAATGGAATGAGTTCTGACGTCAAAACAAACAACTTTTTAATTAATTAGATCAAGTTTGTATTAAAAAATCAAGCGGTTCAATGCAACCGGTTCGATGCAAGCAATTCGATGCAAGCGATTCGATGCAAGCGGTTCGATGTTTCAATGAGAGCATTTAATGGTGTTGAAGTTTGTGATCTTGTGGAAATTTATATTTTATTTCAAATTGCACAGTTTTATGATAAAAATGATTTCGGATTGTACCACGATGATGGTTTAGCAGTTTTTAAAAAAATGAGCGGTCCCTAAATGGAAAAAATCAAAAAATATTTTGTTGAAATATTTTAAAAAAATGAACTCACTATATCAATACAGTGCAACATAAAAATTATAAATTATCTTGACGTCACAATAAATCTCAACGACAATACTTTTCAACCATATTCTAAGCCCGGGAATTCTATAAACTATATTCATGCTGATTCAAACCACCCGCCTAATATTTTAAAACA